TATGGTGAATACATAATAGAGACTTTTGTAGAAATTTTTCTTTTGGCTTTGTTAAGCGTCATAAACACCAATTCAGGACACCTTATAATTATCTTACTAAAATCTGGAGGAAAGTCTTTTACAGTAACTCAGGAGTATCTTACAATATTAGAGCTGGCTTGGAGTCCACATACCTCTAAGAAGAACCACAACCCAAACCAACCATGACACAGGTATTTATCCTAATTATTTATTCATCTGCATGTCTTTGGTAGTACTTTAACAATCCAAATTTGCTTAACTATGTTATCATTTAGGACTTGTTTCTGTGAATCATGGATTTAAAAAAAACTAAAATAAATGTTACCATGAAAAACTGTATGCTCTCACACAGTTCACAAGCTGTTTCAACAGGTTCTTGACTATTTCTGGGTTATCTTTAAAGAGCTAATATGATCACAGATATTATTAGATACATGCTAATGGATGCATGTATAAACATGAAGCATTGTATAACTATGTAAAGTTTCCCTGGACATTAAATTCTTCTGAATGTATTATTATAAATTCTGAAACATGTCACCTAAGTCCTAAATATAATTTTCAACTGAATTAGCTAAATAAACTCATTTCACCCTTTGCCTATTATATCACAGACAAGAATAAAAAGACATAAGTTCAGTTCCTTGAGGCCACAGAACACAAGTATTTTAAGAAGAAGGGGAGATTTAGGAAGATTTAGGACTTACATTTAGAAAGGGAAAAATATCTCAATTCCCCACCATACCAGTCAAATCCTATTGCTTATGACTCATACCACCCAACTATTCAGTCCTTTTCCAATTCACAGCTTCTACTTTCCCATGGACTAGGAAATACCTAGCTAAGTTTATAAAGATGTGTCTGTTAACAAAGTCAAATAGGCAGGGCATTGTGTTTTTTTGGGCTGTTGTAAAGGGATTTATTAATCAAATCAGAGTCAAACTAGAAAGCTACCAAGAATCCTATTCAATTGAGATTTTATAATAGTCAATTAGGTGATGAGTGGTGGCCCAAAGGTACAAAGCAAAGGCTATACAGGCTGGTAATTCCTTCACAGGCTTTTTTCTGCCTACTTTGTCTATTACTGCTATTTTTATTCAACATTTTCCTGGAAGTCCCAGCTAGCACACTAGGGAAAAAAATGAAAGAAAAGATATAATGATCAGAAAAGAAGCAGCAGTAAAAACTGACATTATTTTGCATCTGTGATGACTGATGGTGTATACAGAAAATCCAAAATAACCTACAGTTACAATTAGTCAACTTAGCAAGTTTTCCAGATACAGATAAACATTCCCATATACTAGCAACAAAAAATTAGAAAATACAATTAAAAATGCAATTTACAATAATACACCTATATACACAAAGAAATAACTAGGAATATATCTAAAGAAAAAATACACAAAAGCTTACCCCTGAAAACTGTTAGAACACTTAAAAACATTTATTAAGACTTAATAAATGAGCTAGTCTGAACTGGAAGACGTGAAACTATCAAACTGTCAATTTTCCCCAAACTGATTTACAGATTTAATGCAATCAGAATATCAGGAGATTTTATTTATTATTTATTGGTAAAAATTTACAAGCTGATTCTAAAATTTATAGGGGTGTTTGAAGGGCCTAAAATAGCCAAGGCAACTTTGAGGGAAACAAAGCTGGAGGACCTAAAAAACAAGCATCAGGACTACCTGAGAGACTGTATGATCTGGCCACTGAAAATTTCATCCCAGGTCCAAAGTACCCATTCACTTATTTGCTAGTTTAATTAATTTTTCCTACAAATGTTTATTTGAGATCTCCATAACATAACTTCTTACAGTATTGCTTTAAGTGATATTTAAAAAGCTTATTTATAATACTCCATGAGTAACTGTTTTACTTCTGTAAAAAAATTTTTTTTAACCAATTTTTCAGGTGACTTCCAAAATAACAAGAAACTAATATCTTGAGGTTCATTAAGGTTAATGTAGCTTCTCCAATAAACACTGTATTTTTCAAAAATAATTGAGAGTACTTCATATTCTGAGAAACTCTAAGGATTGAGTATAACACAGATCCCTTGCTGAGGATTTTTGAGGAAATCTTATTAGATATTAAATGGACATATACAGTACATGAATACTAGAACAAATGGACATCTGCTTAACTCTTTATAGAGAAACATCCCAGTATGTAAAATTAAATATATCGAACATTTGAGTCCTTGCCTAATGGCAAACAAAAAGCAAAATAAAACATTAGCCAATCTCTCAACTAAACTAATATTCCATAAATGAAAAGGGCAATTCAGAATACATAACAACATATAGGACAACATACACAGTACTTTTTTTATGAAACGATTCCCATATTTATAAATAAGTGACAGAAACCATAAATATTCCTCTTCTAACACAGATCAACTATAAATCCCACCAGCCTTTTAAACTCCGTTATTATTTGCTCTGTTTAACTGCCAGTTAAGACCTCACAAATACAAAGACAACTGTTCACAGACCAGTATTTCTTGGCCTACTCCAGAAAGTAAGTTTGATACACTGGAGGTTTCTGCCTGTTTTGAAGCTTGTGGCCTAAAATTACTTTTCTTCCTGGCAGTAACACTAAGTCCAGCAATATTTTTAACATTAAAAATATCTCTCTCACCTCATTACTTGAAATTTCTAAACCAACTGTTTTATTTTATACTCTAACTTTAAATAATTCATTTCCTAGTGAGAAAATTCCAGTGTCTAAGCTAGCTCCATTTGAACTTTATGGTGAATACATAATAGAGACTTTTGTAGAAATTTTTCTTTTGGCTTTGTTAAGCGTCATAAACACCAATTCAGGACACCTTATAATTATCTTACTAAAATCTGGAGGAAAGTCTTTTACAGTAACTCAGGAGTATCTTACAATATTAGAGCTGGCTTGGAGTCCACATACCTCTAAGAAGAACCACAACCCAAACCAACCATGACACAGGTATTTATCCTAATTATTTATTCATCTGCATGTCTTTGGTAGTACTTTAACAATCCAAATTTGCTTAACTATGTTATCATTTAGGACTTGTTTCTGTGAATCATGGATTTAAAAAAAACTAAAATAAATGTTACCATGAAAAACTGTATGCTCTCACACAGTTCACAAGCTGTTTCAACAGGTTCTTGACTATTTCTGGGTTATCTTTAAAGAGCTAATATGATCACAGATATTATTAGATACATGCTAATGGATGCATGTATAAACATGAAGCATTGTATAACTATGTAAAGTTTCCCTGGACATTAAATTCTTCTGAATGTATTATTATAAATTCTGAAACATGTCACCTAAGTCCTAAATATAATTTTCAACTGAATTAGCTAAATAAACTCATTTCACTCTTTGCCTATTATATCACAGACAAGAATAAAAAGACATAAGTTCAGTTCCTTGAGGCCACAGAACACAAGTATTTTAAGAAGAAGGGGAGATTTAGGAAGATTTAGGACTTACATTTAGAAAGGGAAAAATATCTCAATTCCCCACCATACCAGTGGTTCACTGTAGACAGGCTATCAGTCAGTAACCTAGGGCACTTAAAAAAAATTCAGATTTCTGAAAATGGTGGTCTTAACGTGTTTATCTTTAAAATCCCTCTCCAAATCCTAGTAAAAAGACAAATTAAGAAATAAAAGAAAGGTATGTACCCACAAGAATAAAAAGAGTAAGAAAGAAGACAACAGGTGATAAGAGATGCTGGTAACATTTTGGAAAACAAAGTGAATGGAGAAGAAGCAACAAACATCTAGCAGGCTGGAGAAGGCGCAAACCTTAATGTTTATTGAAAGCAGGGAGGTTATCCATAAAATCCTACAAAGGATCAGGAATTTGAAGTAACTATGAAAATGTCAGTGAGGAATGGGACTAAACACAAAAAAATGTAAAAATCTGTATAAGAAGTAATTAGAGCTTAAGATCCCTAACCCTACTCCACACACTGAGGGGCACTACCCCTCTCCAATTCAACAGGAGTGGGGAAGGTTTACTTTCTGGAGAAAAAGAACCCATGAGGTTCTAGGAGGAGTATGTGAAAAATGTCTACTCTTTTGATGGTATTGCTGTTAAATGCACTGTGTTTAGCAATAGAAGGAAAAACAGAAAAGATGTTTAATTGCATCTATTCCACCAAGCCTATTACAAATTATGGTTCTTCAACCACATTCTTCAAACTCCTTTCTAGAAAGAACTACTGAAATGGTAGAACTTCTTATAAATCTCTAGTATGAGAGAAGATTTCAATTCCCTACTCCTCAAGTCTTATTTGTTAAAGCAAGTTTTTGCAACCTACATAGCAGTATGGTGTGATAACTGAGATCCTGCACCAGTCTGGGCCAAGAAGTTATAAACACTTTAACTGGGTACCAAAGGAAATGTCCATATGCAATTAATTCTAATAACAGCACCCTTCCCTTTCTTTCCCTTGTCACTACCTCCGTAACTATTTTCCTAAAAAAAAAAACAAACACAAATTTTATTCTTCTCATGTACTTATCAAAGAAAATGTGTGAGAAAAACAAACTGATTCATATTAAGTTATTCTAGACTACAAACACCTGCCTCTGCAGCCCTTGGACAGCTTGGACTTTTTGCTTTGTTTTAATAACTTTCTGTACTATAAATATTGAAAGACTTTAAAAAAATCTGGAAGAGAAGGAAAAAAGAGAACACAGAACACATACATAAAGTATATCATTATTATAAATCCAGAGAAATTTACTACATCCTTAAAGCACTGAGTATTATCCGAGCTAAAACTCTGATTCTCTGTAAGAGAATTCTCTTGATAAAATACATCTAACATTAAGCTATTACTTACTCATTGGATGCGTTTACCAGGGGAGTAATATGTGCCATTGCTCCAAGGACACCCAATACCATCCCTCCGTGTCCTGTTTTTTTGCTACTCCTAACCACCAAGTCGGAAAGTGCAGATCAAGGTCACAGACCTTCTCCCTCAGTCACATCGGAACGATCCAATCTGGCTTCTTTGTGTTGTCCTTCTGCTACCTTTACAGCAACAGCTCGGCAAATGGCCCCAAACTTCCTATCCAGAGAGCGAACCCCTGCCTCTCTGGTATACCTGTCATTAAAAAAAGTATTTTATTTTTGGCTAAAAATCATCTGTAAAAATAGAAGTAATATGATTAATATTTATACTAAAGAAACAGTATACAAAGTACATTATATTTTCTTAAATATTAATTTCATCACATTAAAAATTCATTATTTCCTAAATATTCAGATATATTTTCAGCTACAACTTTTCCCTTTATACAGATTAACTTGAACCAATACTCTATACTAAAACACAAATCCTTGATTTATTTATATTGCAAACATAAATTTAGCAGCACATCAGACATTTTATTCCTTCAATATACATATGAGCTTTCTTAGAAAAAACTGTCAATTTAAGAAAAATTTTAGATAAATTTATACTTGAATACTGCTAAAAGAATCAGAAAAAAAACCTTTTTTCCAACTAAAGTAAAAATCTGAGGCAGAAATCTAGTTTTTACTAGGAACAGTGCTAATCCCTTCCATTCAGTGTATTTTCATTGTAGAGATCTCTAAAAAAAGAAGGCATGCATGCTAAGTGATGCAAGCATAGTGATTTTGTGAAAAAGACTCTAAATGTGATTAAGCAGAGTTTCTAAAAAACTTATGTTAGACTTAAACTCCATAAGCTACTTCATAAACCATTGTGTAATACAACTTTTTTGGCCACCCAGCTTTGGATGGATTTAAATGGGAAGCATTAGGCAGAGAATGCAGTTTTATCTGAAAAACTGGATTTAATTAGGCAGTCAGACAAATATTCTAGATTTCAGAGAAGCAGATTTAAAAGTTCTGAGTAAAGACAAATAACGCTCTTGGCTAACCACTAATGTAAAACTCTTCAATCAAAGGGATAGGAAAACATAAGAATAAAGTCTGGATTATACAACTGCATATAATTTTCCTAAGGAAGAAAGCAGGGAGGAATCTTAAAAATAAACAAACCAATATGTAGCAACAAAAACCAAAACCCAATTTTGCTTTCTAGAAACTCTCGGATCAGCTCAGATTGAATGGTGTGAACAAAAGGAAAAGGGACTCAGGGAGCTTATGGAGGAATGACACGAACATGCAGAAATGGTACCAGAAGTCAGAATGAACTGGAGCTCGTCAAAATTAATGACAACAAAAACAAAATACTTTTTTTAGGTGGTTAGAACAATAATAGGCTACGAACTAATGTAGACAGTGTTAACATTAACAGCTAACTGGAAAAAGTAGACACACCAATCCCTATTTAATATTTTAAAACTGAAACAGGAAGAGTCACCAGTGTCAAATAAGAACCGGTTCACATTTCTTATCAATGACTTGAGCCTGAAGATGCTATATATATGCCAGATATCAGAGGACATAAAACTAACTCAATTTGCTGCAATGGTAATGAGACTAACAATAACATATAAATGATTGCAAATTTCTGCCTGCATTTGGGCTTTAAAAACTTCAACCCTAAAAATACAAAATGGGATGGGTAAAGCTCAGCAAAATTCATATGAAAAAGAACTAAGGTATTAGGTGATCATAAATGCAAAAGGCAAGAGAATGACCTAAATAAGCTAAGAATGTTGAGATACAGTCAGTCATAAAATGATACAGTCAGAATAAGAAAATCAGTGGTCTTCTTATACCACGAACTGTTTAGGCTACATCTGAAATACTGAGTTCCACTCTGGGTGTTTACTTTTAAAAGGGACATTGATATCACAGGTATCAGTCAGAGGAAGACTAATAAGGAAGATGAAAAGTCTTGAAAGTGGGTCAAGAGGAATGGTAAAGAGAACAGGAATGTTTAGTTTGAAGAGATGTGGAACTGAAGAATTTCTTTTTAACACCAAAAGGGCCGTCCAAGGGCAGATTTATGCTTACATCCCAGGTGCTCCTAGAGAGAAGGACTAGTTACAGGTAGAATATAAAGATTATTCTATAAGAATTATATTTACTCTCCAAGGAGTAGTTTGCAGTAAACACTTTAGTACTGTAAGAATTCAAGTAGGCTAGTTACTCTGGGAGGTAAGGAGAACTAGATGATTTCTAAGATTTCCTCCCCTCTGCCTGAATATCATGGGTCTATGTCTATGACTCACGAAAAGATGAAAAACACTTTTCATCAATAGATGACAAACCATGTCCAAGTTTGGTAACTTACAAAATATCCAAAACTTGTCTGCAATAATGAATACCTATCTGTGCTGTTTTTAAAAATAACAAAACTACAGGTATTTTCTAATGTCCAGAACTTTTAATATCTGATGTTTTGAGCTAATAGGTATATAACAAAACAAACAGTATTCCAGGCAGCAATTAGGAAATACAAATAGTGAATTACTCTTCAGAGTCATTATACAGATCCAGATAAACTATGGATGTATTTTTCTCTGTCACTCATGTTTTACAGATGGTGAAGCTATTAAAAAGGTTAAGTGACTTGTTCAAAGTTAACCAAAGGTGTTACCTGGAATATTATTATTGGAAGACTTTAGCATGTAAATCACCTACTTTATTTCTCCTGGCATTATCCACACAGTAAATTACAAGTTAAGAAAAGGAACTCCCATATCAGTGTCAGTCTTGGTGTTTTGTATATAAATTTAAATAGACTTCCATAAGAAGGCTGGCCTTAGATCAAAAAGCAGGCTGACTGGCCAAAGTCTGAAATGCAGAAATACTTCACTTCTCTTGAAAAACAGCAGTTACTAGGAAAGGGTTTGGCATTCTGACACCATCTGCCAGATGATGCAATGGATCTGTAATGCTGAGCCAGGAAAACAGTACGAGGCTACTGCAGATATAAATTCTCAAAAGGATATATTTTCCATTCAAACATGCAATCTATAAATTACACTAAGCAATACCCTACTCAGATAATTTATGTACTGCTTGCCACAAGGCCTAAGCACTTGGTAAGTAACTTGGGAAAGTACCTTCTCTACTGTTCCAGTGTTGATTCTGAAAATGAGAACTCTAAAGGATTTTAAAATTCTCTCAAAGAGGAGAAAAAATCTGAGTGACTTAAAACACATGTCTGAAATAGAATCTCACTTCTTGAGAGAATTTAACTTTTAAAAGAATTTAATTTTTAAGATCCTGGGGTATAAAAGACATCTCAGTATTTTCATGTTTTTAGTTCTTAATTTATCAAAATTAATCCCTTACATTATTGTGTAAAGGTTGAAATTCTAGTTCAAGTCCTTAGCTATAAAGACACTAAATGGTGTCTCTATGAATTTCTGCCTTATACAGAGCCCTGTGTAAATCAATAGTTATGGAAATGCTTACTGGGAATCTGTTGGAGAGAGAGAAATGGATGCTAGTTGCCAGTAAAATAACCTCCTTTTCAGACTCAATCATTAATGAAGTCTCAGGATGGCTGACTAACCTGGTGATAATGTCAAGAGTAGTAACCTGAGGGATCTGAATCTGCTGAGGAGTCAGCCCATGCTGTTCCAATTGCTTTGGGATCAAATGCCTGTGAGCAATCTCTATTTTCTCCTCTTGTGTATACCCTGGAAAAGAAGTGATCTTATTTTCAAATTATTCACACAGTTTTCACAGTGCCATTGCTTTTTTAATGAATCAAATGCAGGTTCAACAGAGCTTGGATTTAGAATGAATTTACATGTTACTTCAACTAAGATTATAATCAGAATAAATAAATTTAATCCCCTATCAAATATTGTTACAATTCCCAACTTTTTCCCAAACAAAACAAGCATTTACTAAGCATGGTGTTTGAAAGTCTTCTGATTAAATGATATATCTCTCAAAGATAAAACAAATCGAAGTCAAACCTTAAAGATAATTATCTCCTTAACTCAAATTCAAGTTTTTATTTTGTTATTTATTAGGAAAATAAAACATCCCTTTTCTTCAGCATAACTTCACATGCAGTATAAAAACTTAAAATGACAATAAAGACTTGGAGTGAATAAGTCACAGGGCCCAGGGGAAGGGATGCAAAAAGGCTTCTTCCACAGCTTTGACTACAAAGGTGTCCCTATAAAAGCATTTCCTTCTACATGTTGGAATTATAAGTATAATTTATATATTTAAAAGATTTTATGTTCCTATTTAAAAGCCTCAATGAGTGCGGATTTATTTTATTTTTAAATCTTGTAAGACAAAATCCCCCTTCAATGAATTATCCCCTTTCCGTTTAACAAGCAAAAATTAAAGATGAATTGATAAGATATCTTTTGAGTAGAAAAAGTAAATAAAACACAAGAAAAACTAGAAGATAAAATGACCAAACCTGCTGGTAGAAGGTGGTATCACATGTCTACCTCTGCAGTTGTCCTGGTCACTTCACTTCCCATTAGTGTGTCTTATGGATTTTTTGCCTTAATTCAGAGTATCTAGGCAAATCTCATTATTTATTTTATCTTATAATTACGCATAAAGCAATATTTGATTCCACCATATTTTAAAACTTAGCTGCAGGAACCTGTAGGGCTCAAAGATAACTAAGAAATTTAATTATCATTCGCTTGATGGTAAAAATTTATTTCAGATTAATATGAAATGTCTATTTAGATTATACTTAGAATCTAAATAAATTTATATTCTACTGTATTTTCATTTTAACAAATTCCCACCAATATTTGATCTAGGGAAAAATAATTCTGAGCAATTAAAATAAGGTAAAAACATTAGAATTTATTTAGTGTTAGGAACCAATGGACTTTACTTTGCATTCTCTAATGGAGGAGAAAACATGGCAAAAAATATGTAAGTCCATGACAGATCCAACTAAAGAGAAGAATTTAAAGACACCCTGCACTTCTATATAAAAGTTGAGGCCAGATGTAATAAAGAGAAAGTTTGGCTATTCTTTAGAACCCATCTCTTAACAAAAATAAATGATTATACTTCCCCAGAGATGAAAACTTCAAAATCTGATAGGAAGCTAAATTGACCATGTGAAGATCTATTTTAAAACACTTTGAAAAAAAAATTATTTTCATTTTCATCAGTAATTTTAGAAATTGCTTCAAAGAAGAATGTCTTATTTTCCACAAAAATAGATCATTCTGTAATGCTGTTAAATCTGAAATTATTATGCAAACTTTATTCTTTATGTGTTACAGCATATATATGTACTCTTATCTGTCATGGTTAGAACAAATAAACAAATAACATTTTGTTGTTCAGTCTTTTAATCTACATAAAAACTGGTTATACACTAGACTCAAACTTTTGAAGATCAAAAACTGGCCAATCAACTTTTTACTCAAAACACCACAGCTCAACCAGTTTTAAAGGGTTATGCTCAGAAAGGAAAGAAATATCAAATAATGATTTTATTTTTGAATAAGCACCTGGGACCTGGATGATCTCCATTCTGTCCAACAAGGCCGGTGGAATGGTAGCAGTAGTGTTGGCAGTGGCTATAAACAGAACTTGTGAAAGGTCAAAGGCCACATTTAGATAATGATCTGTGAAGTTATGGTTTTGTTCAGGATCCAACACCTATGGGAGAATAAACATTTAAACAAATTCAGTAGTTTCAATAGAAAGCTGTATGAATTAAAACATGTATGACATACTAGCAAGGTTGATATTTCTGCTCTACACAGTCAGTCTGAGAAATATGGGGATAACACTAAACCCTGTACATCATTCTTTACATTCCCTACATTCTAAGTCTTTCTTTAAAAAAAAAAGAAACATGTTCAATGTTAAAATTTTTTGAAACCTATGTAAGCACAAAGCAGCAGAAATTACCCTTCCAAGCTTTATTCTTAAATCTACTTATTAATGACTCATTGTAGGACCACAAATAAATTACCAATCCTGTAGAACCAGTTTCCCTCTTCTTAATACACCCTCTCTTACCAGCTATGGGAATATAAAGTAAATGTGTAGAGTATTTTGAAATTCTTAGGTAACAGGTAAAATAATAATTAGTATATTCCTCCTCAAACATTATCAGAAAGTCTGAGATAAAGTCCAACTGAAAGAGGGATTCCAAACAAGAGTAACTAGTGAAAATTACTAAGCTGCTTTATTCTGATACAGCACAAGGAAAAATTCATGTTTTAAAAATGCTTTAAAGCAAAACCTGTTTATAATGAACAATTTATCATTATCTCTTAAAACTATTAAATAAAAACTATTTTAAATCTCTTTAAAACTTTTTGAATAAATTAGATAATTTACCAATTAGATTCTTAAAATGTTGAACAATTGTGTATTAGAGCATATACCTTCTTCACACATGCTCTGAGTCACAGGCTGTGGAGAAGCCTACAAAGACTTCAAAGAAGGCACCAAGTGCTTTCTATGTGTTCTGAGCCTTTAATATATAATCACTTTCACTTACACAAGACAAGCATAGGTATGAATAGGGTTGACACACCTATTCAAAAAGAAAGTAAAATGATTAGAATACTTACTAATCACAATTTTACTGTATAACCAGCTTTTCTTAGCTTCTGATTCCCCTCAATATTTTACTTATTTTTAAATATATCCACAAGTTAGTCTTAATTAAAAGCCCTTTACATAGAATCTTGAATTTTGTTAAATAATGAGTATTACTTAACTTTAATTATGCTAACTCAGTTTGCCTAGAATACAATTCTCAGATACAATATTTATATTTTCACAAGATTTAATACTGTTTAATGCTATAAAAATAAAGTACTTTCAAGTCTTTGAAGGCAATTCCAATTATATTCAGTATATGCTTAAGAGTAATCTCACTGTCGAACAATTATCTGAAACTGATAGCTATGTTTGGAAAATACCACAATCTTAGTTAAGCCTGTTATCTAGTAAAAATGAAAATTTACTCTTTAGTGGCTCTAGTTAAATTTAACATGTACATGTTGGGTATGTTTTAGATAGTTGTCAGACCTCTCCAAGTCAAGTTAATTTCTTCTCTTTTAAAATTTTAAGACACTGGGGTTTCAAAGAAGTGGAAAATCAATAACAGTCTTTCTGAACTGTGAATGAGGTCTTTTAAAATGCATTACAGGATACCTGGGTCATGAGGAGAAATGTCCAACTTGCCTGCCTCCATCTTTTATTCAGGAAAACACAAAAGCATACACAGAGTTCAAATAGCATCAGAAATACTGAATAATAGTCTTGTCAGGTAAGAAGAATTTCTAGTAACCATCACTCAGATGAAACCCTAAGTAAACTGGTGAGTCCATGGAGGGACAAAAATTACAGTAAGAATGTTAGAGCAATGGCTTCCACAGCCCAACTCACCCACACCTAGGAGCTGCTTTCAAGAATGACTAGAACTGTTATTTTTCTCTTTTTCCTCATTAAAAGGTCTTTCTACATCAGTTGGAGGACTCTAATTCCTACCTATACAGTATGACTGGGGATTGAAATAGCTGTGATATATGACACTTTATTTTTGGGCACATGAAGTCACAGTTGGGATAAACCATGGGGAGGGATAAACCAAATGCTTGCTGAGAGTTGTTCTTCAATAATAATTTTTGGCAAGAGGTAAAATACAGATAACTGCAGGCAATCCAGGAATATACTCCACTCATTAAGATGACTAGGTAACTGTCATCTTTAGGTCTAATAGTGTGCTTACATTTTTAAAAGTCTGTATCTTTTAGAGAAAGATACTAAAATATTTATGAATATTTGCTGTCTGGAATTTGACTCAAAGTAAATAGGAAGAGGGTGGGGAAGAGTGGGTAGGAATAGATGAAAGAATATTGTCCACGATATCATAATTGTTAAAGCTTGGTGATGAGTTTATATGGTTCAATATACTATTTTTTCTATTTTTGTTATGGTTGAAGTTTTCAAGGACAAAAATGTAAAAATAAATAAAGTAAAATAAAATAACTAAAATCAATTCTGGAAGCCACAGAAGATTAATGCTATAGAAATTATATCAGCAGTAAAGACAAACTTGAGAAAAATGTCCACAACATAGAAGGAAAAGACATTAAACCTATGTAGGGGATAGATATGGAAAAAATAGAGATATCTAATTCATAGCTAATTGATGTTAACTAAAGATGAGGTCTCAACAAATGTAAAATAGGACATAATTATAGAAATAACTGGGAAAATATTCCAGAAGACCCAATACTACAGATTGAAAAGCCCTGGACTCCTGTTGTGAATAAATGACAAAATGTTATTAGAATGACTGCCTATGAAAGTTTCAATCAAAATTATAACTAATTTAAAGTATTTCAAAACCTTTAATATACAGAATTAAACATACATAAGATATGAAGCATCACAAAATAAACACATGTGAACCCATTACCCAACTGTTACTACATTTGTATTTTGTATTTAGACCAGTGGTCATAAAAGTGCAATGCTTGAAACAACCCATCAAAGTACAAGTAAAAAACATTAGTGTGTGTGTGTGTATATATACATATATATATATATATTCATCTTTATATATAAACACAGGAAATAAATTAGTTTTTTAAATATTTAACATGTAAAATGGATGTAATGCTCTCACTTGGAACACCCATCATATATATTGAGATATCCTAAGAGAAAGAGAAAATTCCGTAACATGAAAAGGCTGGTTGTGGTGCCCTCACTTGTCTGCTTTCACTGTAATTACAGCACACTGAGGTCCAAGTGAGCCTGACTAAGTGTTTTTATAGATTATAAATGGATGAATCAAGTGTGTTAAAAAGATTCCCGCAAAGTATCATTAAAAGATAATAGAGGCAAAGACATGAACAAGAAAATGATAGTTGATATTTTTATCTCTGGAATAAGCTTTGATAGCCACATTATGAAATAAAAACAATTATCTAATTAGAAAACATTGTTTTCACTAAAAATATAGTTATCTTTTAAAATTTATTCTGTGTGGTATACATATAAGTATACAGTAGCATATGTGTTATGTGTATGTTATATATATATTCTTTACTATGGATTGAGTTGTATCTCCTCAATGTGACTGCATTTGGAAATAGGACCTTTAAGGAGGTAATTAAGGCTAAATGAAGTCATAAGGGTGGGGCCCTAACCAGTATGACTGGTGTCCTTCTAAGAAGAAAAAGAGATGAAGGATGCATGAGTACAGAGAAAAGACCACTGGAGGACACAGTAAGGAGGCAGCTATTTGTAAGACAAGGAGAGAGACCTCAGAGGAAACCAAACTTGCCTACACCTTTATCTTGGACTTCCAGCTTCCAGAACTGTGAGAAAATAAATTTTTTTAAAGTCAGTCTGTGGTATTTTGTTATGGCAGCCACAGCAGACTAATACATCCTTATTACATATATATTTATGATATGTCTTCAAAACTTTTTGCTGATGGGATATGTGAACAAAATATATGGAGTTTACTGGTACAGATACAAAGATACCTTAGCAAATATAAAAGGCCTCAAAACGTATCCATAAACAAATCCTTGAAATAAGTAACTTTAAGATATATTCCATCTGAACAGATAAATCAAAATAAAAGGATTAGAAGCAATAAAATCATTTAAGCATAGAATTAAAACTGAATGTATTAGGAAGCACTTCTAGAATGGCAGAGTAAGAAACCTGGAAAGTCTGCTCCTCCATAAAAGCAATGAGAACACTACTATCAAAATCAACTTTTTCAGAATTCTAGAAATTAACTTGCAACAATCTGAAGAGTGTTTATTCAAGAAGAATGGCTGAATCTCAGTAAATGTGGCAAACTTTGTGGTGTTTTAACTTGCTTTACTACCAATCCTCTTCTCCCAAGTTCATTGTAGCCTTGAAAGCCAATAGCCTCACAATCACAGTAGCCCTGAAAATCAGAAGCCTGGCAACCACTGTAGGGGGCAAAATAGGTCTAGAGCTCCCCAAAAGTCCTATCCCCAGAGAACTGTCACTATTTTATCTGTCTGGTAGTTCTATGGAAAAGCTCCATTCTCAGGATTTATCTTTATTTAACCTGACTCAGAGATCATTCTGTGTGAACACTTCCAACCTGGGCATGTGTTAAAAACGACCAACAGCAACTGTTTACAATACTGCAGTTGCCTCAGGCAGTGACACCAGTTGGGACTAATGAGAGACTGGTCAAAAAACTTAAAAGGAAAAACTGGAGAAGGAGATATTCATGGGGGCCTTTAAAAAGCTCTGAAATATTCCTGGGAATCTAGAGTCATGCAAACAAACAGAACTATCATCATAACCAGGAAAGATCTGAGAAGGACCTAAAAGCTCACTCCAGGTAGACACTGAGGCTATGTAAAAGCAGGAAATGAAGGTTGAGCATTAAAGCCATGCCTCAATATACACACAAAGAGCCCTTTGGCCAACAGTGGAACTACTGAGTCAGGCACTTAGGGAAATCTCTGTCTAATTATGAGCTGACCACTAAAGAATACAGACTTTACAGAAAGACCCCAGGAGAATCACTAAACACCCAAATAGCAACACCACAACCAACAAATCCTTGGGGAGTGGGTGGGATCTTATTACATTATTTAAATATAATTATACCTTTTATGTTCATTTTCAAC